TACATAATGTTTACAGCAGAATAAGAGCAGAAAGAGCTAGGTGTAACTGTAGCCCTACCTTGGTAGAATAATGGACGAAGATAACACCAACCGTCCATCTGCGGTAAATGTTAATTGTCGGTTTTCAGGATATTCTTTAACCGCAGCGAAATTTTTCCGGAAATAAACTGTGTAGCACTGTGCTGTCGTGTTCTTCATTCAAGAATACGAACACTCGGAATTAATGATTAATACCAATTTGCCCGCAAATGTCTTCTTGTGTCCATCAAATGAATGAAAATGTTTCCCACAAATATTTTTTTTCCATTTTTGTTTGGTAAGTATACAAATGTGCAATAAATTTACAAAATGGAAACCGCGGGCACACAAAGGCTGCCTACCGAAATGAGGAAGATGTGTGTTANTACCGAAATGAGGAAGAAGTGTGTTAGTGACACGGTTCGAACGGAGGGCAACCAAAGGGTTATTTTGATGACCTCAATCACTCGATCATCGATGATCAAGTAGATTTGAACGTTTCCTTGAATATTCATCTTTGATTCACATTGCCTTATTGTTTTCGCTACATAGTAGACTCGAATCGCACATCCATGGGCTAGAAATGAGGTCTATGCGAAAAAGACAGATGTGTATAATAATAGTAGCATACTTAAACTGACTACTGACAAATGTTACAGTAGGCGGCCGCTAACTGCAGTTCCTGAAATTCACCTACACTGCATAAAACGAAATTCACCATCACGCGATGTATGGATCGAGTAAACTCCTGACAGATGCACACTAATGTGCCACTGTCATTGAAAACAAAACATGATAAAAATTAGAATATCACAAAAGATTATGGCTCAATACGAAGAAAGCAGTTTAATGCTACTCCACGCAGCACTTCCGCTTCGAGATTAGCTCGGCTCAACTACGGATCATCTTATTATTGATAGACGGGTAAATCCGTTTCTGAAAGGCCTTTGGTTCATCTTTTGGCCATTTTATTTTCGTACCGCAAAAAGGCCATGAGGTCAGAATTCCAGTGGCTGCCCATTTGGTTAAGAGCAGGACTGCATGCCGCACAGGCCGTTGTGTGACCTCAATTGAATCCACTGATCGTGCTCAAAGGATTTTAGGACGTAACACGTCACCTGTTGGACCGAGTCCATCACAATTCCCGTCCAGTCAGAATGAACTGACCTCTCTATAGACGAAAAAACCTTTTGGGTGAGGTACCGATTGAGCATGAGGGTTGTGTGTTGTGCCTTTGGTCTTTGATCGAGTGAGTTTTAGACGAGAATTAACTAACCTACGTGTAATTAACCTCGGTCGTTATGCTCACTTTATTTTGTTATGTTAAGAAGCGTTACCTATATGTAGTCAAATAGAAAATCCATCGGGAACCATCTTGAGTTTAATGTCCGATCGTCAACTTCGGGAAAACGCAGTAGTGATAATCGGTCTCCAGTCATGCTCGAACCAAACAGTTCAGGGACTCTTTTGCTGCATACCTTCGCTCCCAAACTTTTCCCTTGAAACTTAATATTCTTTCCGGGAGCTACTGATATCACTAAGGTGTTTCATCAGCATTGAAAACATCACAATCGGCATATCTACGGATCAAGTGCGGTAACTCCACTCGAAATTATTCCGCCTCATTGCGCAGTATTATCAATCATTTTTTTGTCTCCTGCCTTCTAGGACTGCATACCACACTCATCGGACAACGAGTAAAGCCAAACTTTGAAAGTATTTAAGTGACCAGGATGTATTTCTGTGGCAGTTCCATCAGCCTGGAAACGATGCCCTGCAACGTGGGTATCTCTTCATGCGCTTTCCTCACTACAATAAACCATGTGAATGTCACATCGTGAACTGTGTTGAACTATTCGTTTGTTTTTAGGTGACATTTGCACTGACAGTTTTCCTTGAAATACCAAGTGATTTTGCTGCATAACGCTGATTTGCACCTGGCTAATTCCACATTTTCAACGCATTTCGTATCTGTCTGATAGACAAGTGCTAGCGCGTTTTCATGTCTTGGACCACTGGCGTCCATATGCCTTCCTCACAGGGTTTATCCGGTTAGTGAACAGCTTCGTTTGTGTGTCACACTAGGTGAAATACCCTTGGCTGAGTGTGACGTCGAATGTTGGTTGGCCAATCGTCATCCCGCACATCGGTCTTCGACCAAGTGAATAAGTATCATGAATTGCGACATACTGAGATGGTGACCTACGTTATTACGTATACGGTTCGTTTGGGCTTGCCGGGAATCGAAAACATATTNAAAATGCAACTTCTCGTCGATGTGACATAGCAGGAAATTGACCGTAATTTAGAAACGTGGTCATCTTTCTTTTATCTTTTGATTTTTTTATTTAATTGATTATACAATTATGTAATGAAATTCATCGCGTTCAGAGCAAATGAAGCATCCACTAAAACAATAGGAGGCCTTGGACAGCTGCAACAACCTGATTGGGTTTCACCATCAGTGGGAATCGATCGACCAAACTGGGGTTCAAACCCGAGACTCCGCAGGTGGAAACTAAGAGTTATACCCATCGGCTAGTAGCTGATCTGACTGTGTTTCATCCTGACTATGCACTATATAGTAAACCGATCTCCGCAAGCTTGTTTCGGATATCACAACTCTTCCGTCTGATATATTTCGTGTAAATAATTTCCAGGAAAGGGTCCCACGTGGTATAATGCCAGGGAGGAGATTGGGTACCGGTGATAGGGCTTGCAAAAAACACATCTGTAAATTCAGCGCCATCATTTGAGGCACACGGACTCCAATATGCACAGACACCCACACGCCCGAGGTTCAACCTTTAATTCGCTTGTACTTGTTCATATTGGCATTCTGCTTTACCATATCTCTGGTGCCTCCTTGTTGATGAGCAGAAGGCTTCCACAGAATTACGCAATTACTTGCTTCATTGAAAACGTTGATATCGGATTTTAGGGTAGCAAGCTTGGATTAGCCCATTCGTTTGTTACGAGACACCAGGCACTCTTGAGTGAAACCCACACCCGAGAACATCAAGAGTGCCTGGTGCCTCTGAACAGTCGGATGGGCTAATCCAAGCTTGATACGCTAAAATTGATTAAGCCATTAGCACAAGGTGATGATCGTCGACCGTGTAGCTCAGGGGTAAGGGTTTGAAGTCCCGACCCGACTGATCGCGGTTCGAGTCCTGACAGGGACACAAAAAGGACGCAATGCTGACGAGTACCAAGCAGGACAAAACAGCCGTCCAGTGCTATTTGTCGGTTATCGCAAACATTTCTATCGCATGTAGAAATAACTGACTGGGATGCGCGAAACTGTCTGAACTTTCGTATTTGAAATGATGGGCACCGCAGTTTACCAATGCATTTGGGGATGTGGGTCGACCAATACAAATTTCTATCTATGGTTACACTAATATATTTGATAGAGTTCACCGTGGATAAAGGATTGTTATTAATCATTGTGGGGTCTGTCAGATATGGGGATCGAGCAAAACTATGTAAACACTCAACACATTTACTGGGGTTCAGGGTTAGCCCCGATGAGTAGAAGAATGACTGAATTTGATCAAATAGAGAACTAGAAATCATCGTACTTTTCATAATGTCATAGAACTTGTAAATCGCACCGTCCATGTCTA